GAGGTTAGGGGGGGCAGGGGCTGGGGCAGGTGCGGCTGGGGACTCCAGCCCCGGTGACAGTGTGGCAGGGCAGCGTGGCCGAGTTGCAGAAAGCCTTGTCTTCACTGTTCTGTCAATAGCTTCACAGAAAACTTGGGCTCGGGATTTTTTTTTAAAGACCCGATGTATTGATGGCAAAGACCCAAAATGTAGAAGGCTTGAACAGTACCCCGTGGGGGTCTCCCTCCCACACCAGCCCTCCCAGGGGGCAAGCAGAGGCCAGGGCCGCCCTCCCGGAGACTGTCCAGGCTTATCCTGCACAGATAGTAGATCTGGCAAAATAATTGCAAATCATATAACTTGTATATAAAACTATACGTAATTGTATGTATTGGCATTACACGTAGTGTGCGTCTTTAAGGTTTTACGAGGTGGCGGCACACCGTGACACAGTCCCGCACTTCGCCCTCCGTAAGTTCTCGTGGGGCTCGTCCCACGTCCTCGTCTCACCGGGGACTGACTGGTCCATCTGTCCCTTTGCACCTGGGCAGATGCACCCAGGGGCGAGTTCTGGAAAACACAGGTTCTCGATGACAAGTCCGGGCCCTCGTGATTTCGGCAGCACTTCTGGGTGACCCCCCCCATGGGGCCTACAGACTGTTCTCCCTGTGGCCCCCGCCAGGCCTTCTGACAGAGGGTGCGCCGGCAAACGGTGTTCTCTCTGCCAGTCACGTCAGTGGGAAAAGGTACTTGGTGTAGCTGTAACCAGCATTTCTCTTGTTGAATTTTCATGAGTCTGGGAGCAAGATGCGTGTCTTTTTCTGAACTATCCACTTGGACGTGTACCTGTCAGGAAACAGTGTCTGGCTATAACAAAATCCAGAAAAGCAGTGGCTTCAAGAAGTGGGGGTGTCTTTGCTCGCATAAGCAGCAGTCTGCGGATGGCTGGCCAAGGTGGGCCCAGCTTCTTCATGGTGCCACTAGGAGCTCAGTGTCCTTCCTCTGCACTTAGCCGTCCTTAGACTGCACCTTCGCCTTATAGTCACAAAAGGGCTGCCCTCCCTCCAGCATAGCATCCATGTCCCAGGCGAGAAGAGGAGAAAGGTAAGGAGCATTAGGCAGGTGTCAGTAGAGTCTGCTTACCTTCCAAGGAGCTTTCTTGGAGGCCACACCTAGCAATCTGCCATTCAGTGTCACTGGTTGAAGTCGTGTGCCCCATGGGTCCTTCGGCAGCAAAGGAGCTAGAAAGCTTTTCCGCCAGGCACATCGCCATCCCCAGGGAGAGAGCGGCCTTCCGTTGGGCAGGAGGCAAGGGAGGTTGCCTGCATGGGCACTGCCCCCTCGGTCCCCTTCATCTGCTTTTCTAACCGACTTCAGTCTGTGCATCACTGACGGGCAGGAGCCCCCAGGGACTGGCGATGTGAATTACAAGTCCTGCCCGGAGTTCAGTCGGTGTCCAGGCCCCCTCTCTGCCCTTGACCCTGCTCTAGCTCTGCCCTGGCCCTGCGGGTCCACAGACAACCTCGGTCTAAGAACTTGGAGTGACTCTCTCCTGTAGGAGGCAGGTGGCGACTGTGAAAAGCTGGCAAGCGTGTGGCCTCAGGTTCCCCCGCCCACAGGCCCTGTCCCTCCCCAGAACTGCCCACGGGGCCTTATCAGAGGGTTTGCCCCTCTCCTGGTGGGGGGTTGAGGGCAGCTGGCCCAGGTCCCCAGACTCGGGAGCCCTAAACCTGACCAAGGCCCTGTGGGCAACCAAAGCCCGCTGGCTCAGTGACAGCGGCCAGCCCAGAGTTGGCGGCCAGCTCTGGTACCGGGCCCTTTTGCCATGATTTGGGTCACACCCTGCCTCCTCTGAGGGGGAGCCTGCCCAGCCCAGCTCCGGCCACCCTCTACTGGCCCAGCCAGGAGGACCTGGTGGAGGGTTCAGCGCCCTCTGACCTGTTGTCCCTGGGCCTCGGTCCCCTCTTGGCGACCAGTGGGGCTGATCTTCCCCAGCGGCGAGGACTTGGCCATGGGCCCAGCCTGGCATGTGGGCCAGGGTGTCATTACGGCTTGACTCTGGGTCTTCCAGGACCCTTGGTTCTGTGCGGCCCTGCCCGGCCTTGCGGGGGCTGTGGCATCAGAGCAGCGTGGGCTCAAGGTTCTGACCTCGTTAAAAATACACACACTTCCCAAATGCAGACGCAGTGACTGGGAAGCGGAGTGGCTGCTGTCTGAGCCTGGCAGGCGGGGGCAGCTGGGGGCAGGCGTCCCGCACAGGCAGGCGGCCCCATGGGGCCGAGCTGACTCAGGCGCCCTCCGTGCCAGCCCTGCTGACGCTCTGCTTTCTGGCCGGCCGGCTCCAGGCCCTGCTGCCTGTCACAATGTGTATCAAGTTCCCCAGGGGCCCGGGGCCCTCGTGTGTGGGTGCAGCCCAGGGGGCAGGGACTTGAGAGAGAAACTGAGGCAGAAGCTTGGCCGCTGAGCCCAGCGCTGACCCGATGTCCCACGGAGGCCGGGCGTTCCGACCCGGTCCGGCGACCGCCCAGCTGACATTCAGGGAAGGGGCCGTAAACCAGCAGCACGAGCGACCGGCGAGGGGCCAGGCC